ACCTTTCTCATCACCACCCATCAAATGCATGATTTTTAAAAAAATGGGAAATGTGAACAGTAGCATTCTTTTGAGTGCTTTCTAAAAAGCTATACAAATGGGCAATAAGGTGACTGATGTGGCTATCATTAATGTTGACTGATTAGTTATGGTTTAAACTTATTTTCAAAATTTCTCAATTTTCTTGCTATGACTTGATGGAATCTGAAAACCGTTGTGCAAGTGAAAGATGTGCACGAGCAATCTCTTGCATTTCAAACCCTTGCATGAGTTCAGATTTTTAAAGGTTGTCTGAAGTGGAATGAAATTAAGATCTTTTTCTTGTTACTCTTGTTGTTCCCTAAACTGTCTTTATAATATATAATCAGGCACAGCTGCCAGGAAGGAGTATTCTTTGCCAATAGTGGAAAAAAACAGGAAGTAGGAAGTCTTTGCAAATCTGTGGTTGCTGATTATCTGCTTCAATTTCTATGTAAAAGGATGTCCATTAAGTAGTATCAGTGTTGTACAGAGGTTTGGTTGTGCCCAGAAACGGCAGGAGTGTTGCTGCAATGGAGTATTGACCCTAGCTATAGGAAGCAATGTTAACTGACGAGCTGTACTCAGCCCTTTCCTTATACAAACCGGATACTAGGAGTGAGAATAATTCACAGGAATTGACCATACAGGAAAATGAATCAAGAAAGATGAACTGAAAAACATGGATTGATGACTTTTATTGCTCATTCTACTTGTGATGGTTCACAGTGTTTTATCTTGATTTTTCCATAGTGAGCAACCATATGATAACTTTGAATGCAGGATTAATAATAATAATAATCCTTGCATTTGATATAGCGCTTTTCACGTTGGGAGGACGTCCCAAAGCGCTTCACAGCATATACTGTACAGTGAATTGACTGTATATTTGTGGGCGAACGCGGCAGCCAATTGCGCACAGCAATGTCCCACAAACAGTCGTAGATTGAAAATGACCAATTTATTATTGTTTTTGGTTTTGGAGGGATTATTATTAGGCTCTGTGTGGAGTAAGGAAACTTGCCCAAGGTTTCGTCCTCTGCCTGGAATTGAACTCAGGTCTCTCGCTTGCAAAGCGAGTGCTCTAACCACTGAGCTACAGGACTCCACGTAGTATTCCATCGCTAATCCAAACTAGTTGAAACTGAATCAGTCTGAAGAGGTGGTTTCTTTTAATTCATGATTTGTAGAAAGTAAAGGGCAGGAATAAAGATCTAGAGTGGAATCACAACAACTTGCATTTATATAGCACCCTTAATGAGGGTAGCGTCCTGGAGCCCTTGACAGTGGTGGAGTCTGACCCGGAATAGAAGTATAATGTCACTCACTCTACAGCTTCACAATAGTCTAAGCGTAGTCTTAACTTTACTAAGTTAAGAGACGAGTTCTTCATCTAGTGAAGGCAGCATTGAGACCCAAAACATATCAAGGAGCAGAAAAATTAAGGTTTCAGTTAGTACTGTCCTAAAAAAAATTGTTTTGCCTCCTACAACTGTTGTAACCGGAAGTTTAAAGCTGCTTGTAGAGCCTTTGTTCTATGGTACTGTATTTATCGATTGCTTCATCCCATCCATTTTCTAAATCTTACATAACACATGTCCCTAACAGCAAGGTGAAAAAATACCAGGACTTTGGCACTTCTGTGAAACTAGTTACCATGACTATGTTTACAGTGCAGCCAGTATTATTATGGTTAGATTTGTTTTATAGTCACTGCATTGATTTATATGATGAATTTGTGATGCAAGAATAATTCTGGGTGTCTAATTGCAATTTTATTTTGGCATGAAACTGGACTAAAGCTTCTTGCTAAATATGAATATTTTACTAAATATATTTATCCTGTGCACAGTTTCAGTGCAGTGTAACCATATTGAAGATGATGAAGTTCTGCTTAACCATTCTCCCCTACCTACCCGCCCGTACCCTCCGTTCCTCTGGCTCCAGTCTGCTCCACATCCCCCGCCCCAACCGCCCTACTATCGGTGGCCGGGCCTTCAGCCTCTCAGCCCCTAGGCTCTGGAACTCTATCCCCCAGTGCCTTCGCCGCTTCCTCCCTTTCCTCCTTCAAGGCCGGTCTCAGGACCTTTCTCTTTGACCGTGCCTTCAGCTCTCCTCTCGACTCTCTACCCCCTCCTCGCTCCCTCCCTTCCCTCCCCTCACCCTGACCATTTCCACCTTGCTCGGGTCCTGACCCAACTGTACAGCGCCTTGGGACGTCCTCCCGACGTGAAAGGCGCTCAATAAATGGAATCTTGTTGTTGTTGTTGTTGCTTTATATAGCCAGGATTATAAGTAACCATGAAAAGAAAGAAATTCTCTCATTAATTAAGGCCATTTGGGTAATCTATACTAATAAAGATGTAATATCTGTGTATTTGCTAAGAACTCAATAAATGATTGACATGGAGACATGATTTATACCTCATAGGAAAGGTCTTGCATATGGGTATGTCATGGGCATATTTATTTTCTCCTATCGATGATGAGCTATGACCTAAGCAAGCTCATCATACATGTATCCCAGTTTCGCTTAAGGTGTAACATAGTCCTGCAGTTACACCTGGTGACTGCGCCAACTCCATCATGCGTCACAGAGCCCATGGGCACGTACGCACTCAGATGAAGCCAAGTGGTGGGAACAATATGGCGGTGGTGAGGTGGAAGTTGCTTCGAGCGGTGTTACCATTCGGCTGCTTTTCCTGCTGCTCCTGGACGGCTCCGGGCTGGGTGCAGCCATGTCGGAGTTGGGGTGATGGTTGGCTTGGTAAGGCTGCGGTGTTTACGGCTTCCTCCGCACCGCGGCCTAGCAACAACTACCCCTGGTGAAGCCTGGGGCTCAAGTTGGGGCTTCACCCGGACTGGGGTTTAGCCCTTCCCCGTCTGGAGTTTAGCCCCTCTCCCTCCCTTTATGTATATAATTCCAATGGATCCAGCAGATGGCCAAATTGAGATCCCTGAGGGTTCTGGGATCGTTATATAAGATATAGCAGAGCTCAAAACCAAAGTTTTCCCCAACCTTAGCCATGACCACACAAATCTATATTCCATATTGGATCCTTTGCTCTGGAACTCTATCCCCCAGTGCCTTCGCCGCCTCCTCCCTTTCCTCCTTCAAGGCCGGTCTCAAGACCTTTCTCTTTGACCGAGCCTTCAGCTCCCCTCTCGACTCTCTACTCCCTCCTCGCTCCCTCCCTTCCCTCCCCTCACCCTGACCATTTCCCCACTGCTCGGGTCCTGACCCAACTGTACAGCGCCTTGGGACGTTCTCCCGACGTGAAAGGCGCTCTTTAAATGGAATCTTGTTGTTGCTTTGGTTGCAAGTGTAGCTGCAATGGGTCAATACAACTAGATAAAGATGGATCTGAACATATTTTTCTGCCTGTTTTGGAAACTAGATGATGTTTACAGACAGAAAATGCAGTAGTAATTTGTCACAAATGATACTTAAATAAGTTTCTTACACATGGTTAATAACTCTTCTTGTAAAGTTAGTTGCAGCAACTATGGTAGTAATTGAAGCAGTGAATTTAAAAACTACCTAGTAAAATGTATTTGTAATGAAGATTGTCTTGGGTAGTTATAAAACAATGGTGCACTGACCATCTAATGAATCCTACAGTTTGTGTTGAGGGATAGCTGAGTCGCAATAAGATGTTTTTATGCAGTTAAAATTATCTGCACTCAAATTGGTGATGAATGCTAATTTCACAGCTTCTTAAAAAATCAATAGTTTGTAAATATTTCTAGGAGCATGACATTTGGTTCTTCAAGCCTGTTTTACTGTTTTATTCGATAATGGATTTTAAAAAAATCTAATTTGCTTACCTTTCCTCCATATTCATGTACTTTCCAGGTATCCATCTCCTTTTTAAATATTCAATCAGTTCTGTAACTATGGCTCAGTGTAATCCACATATTCACTGTCCTTTGATTTCACGTATGATCACCTTAGTTCTAATTTTAAAATTGTTTTGGATCCCTCTACCAGAGATTACTTATCTAACTTGTGAATTCTGTTTTTTAAAACTTATTTAACTTGTGAATTCTGTTTTTTTAAAAACTTAATCAGATCACTCATTAACCCTTAATTTACGTAAGATAAATCTTGTTTATCTGGGCTCCCATCATAGCTAAGACCCTTCACACCAGTTGTTAATCTAGAAAATGATCATTGCATTCCTTAAAAGGCTGGAATATAATTCCTAAATTTTGGCTACCAAAACTGTGCTCTGCATGGTCTGACTAGTGCTTCATACAACTGCAGCAACACTCTACAAAATAGATCTACAGAAAACAGTCATGGTAGTGTATGTTGTGAAGTGCTTTGAAGTACCCTTTCGATGTGAAAGGCACTGTATTGAATGTAAGTTATTATTACAGATCATGATTGTAAATTCCAGCAGCTTCTCAACCTTTTTGGTTGGATTTTGCACCTCTGAGCNTTTTTTTTAACAGTGTTATGTACTTGGACTCCTAAATCCCTTACTCTTGTGCTTGCATTTTGTGAATGCAGTAACAATTTAGTCCACTTGGTGCCAACCTTGTCTTGGCTTTTAATCTTGGTAAGTCATGTTGGCAGAGTAACCCGTTTTTTAGTGAATGATTTTTGAAAACAATCTTTTGACTTTTTTTTAAACTGCAGTAATGGCTATATTAAACATTTAATTATACAGATCGAGGTATAACAGCATTTTGATCAAAGGTAATACAAGTTTAGTTTCAGTTCCAATATCAATTTAGTTCTGTTTTCTTATTGTACACATGCAAATCTAAACTTTTCATTTTTAAAAATTTATCATGTTTTAAAATGAAAAGTAATGGATTTAATACATTGAATATGTGAAAGGGAGTTTGTTTTGGGGGGAAAAACAATCAGGTGCCAGAAGAATATTCAGTAGGTGGATTTAAGAAGCTGCTTTAGAATTTTAAGAAAAGCATGCAACTGCACTTTTTTAAAAATCTGTGATTTGTTTCAATAGATCCGTATATGATGATCAGCCCAATGCACACAAACGGTTTATGGAAAAACTCGAGGCTCGTATTCGGAATCATGACCGTGAGATTGAAAAAATGTGCAACTTTCACCATCAGGGCTTTGTTGATGCGATTACAGAGCTTCTTAAAGTGAGGTCAAATGCAGGGAAATTAAAGGTAAGAAAGTTACGTTTTTAAACTTAGATGGAAATGCAAAAAATGAACACAATGTGCTTTGGTCACCTAATAATCGTCTCAAAGCACTTCACAGGATAAACTGTAGCGTGTAGCGATTGTGTGTTTTGTGGTGAAACGCGGCAGCCAATTGTGCACAGCACCTAACCCACTGTAGCTGAATTATTTTAGCCTATAGCAGTACATTATTGGAATTTGTATTGTTAAAAATCACTATGAATTAGAATTGTGAGGGCAGAAGAGGTGGGTGTTTGGTTGAAGCAAAACCATTCCAGTCCAGGTAGGGAGAATGATTTAACTCTTGTGGCATTTCCTCATCATTGGGGAAGTTGCCAGAAGAAACAAAAATGAGAAACTGTTTCATGGAGGCCAATGCTGGACTTGAAAACTATTTTTCTTTAATTGTTTTCCCAACCAAATATATTAGTTGTTAGCCTGCCTCAGTTGGTAGCATTTGAGTCAGAAGTTTGTGGGTTCTCGCCCTACGAGTTTGTCATTGTGTGACCTCATACCTTGGATTGATATTCCAGTATATTGTTGGAGGTGCTATAATTTGGATAAGGCATAAAACTATTTGTTCAGGGGAACGATAAAGATCCATGACACTATTTGAAAAATGAAGGGAGTTTCCGGACCAACAATCCTCCAGATAAAACTGTCATTCGCTTCATGTATGTAGGGGGACATTGTGTGCAACTTGACTGCCACATTCACCTACAAAATGCAGGCACTACACTACAGTAAATCCTGTGAAACATTTGGGACATTTTGATAAGGCATTATATCAAATGCAAGGATTGATTTTATTTACTGAAGAAAATCTGTACGTGTGAATTGCAATAGAGTTGCATTGTTACGTTATCTAGTAGGTGGCACAGAATGACATGCTTTGTTTTGGTGTTGCTGTTTTTTTTGCATAGTAAGACAAAGGGCCTTTGATGTATTCCTCCAGTACTGTATTATATAGAGATGTAATGAAATTATCCGCAAGAAATCTGAGGTGGCAGCAAAGAGTTTGTCATTGTGTTTTGTACTACAAATGGAAAATTACTCTAACAAATTGAGAGTGAAGCTGTGTGTCAGCCAGCCTTATCCTTATCTTAACCTTAGAACTTTTCTAAATTGTAATTAAATTCTGGTAGTTTACTGAAGACTACTTAAATCACACTTTGACCACGCAGTGGATAAAAGCACCATATATGACCAGGTTTGAATCCTGTTCTCTTCTGACCTCAGCTGGGACAGTAAATGAAGTGTTCTAATTGTCTTCAACATTCCTCATTTGGGGAGAAATCTATTGATTACTATCCAAAAAACCCTGCTGGAAAAGTGTGCGTGTGTGGATGCCAGGTGAAGACTGGGTCAGGCTCAGCTGTGGTGGCCCCTGTGGTTCAATAGCCTGCCAACACTCGCTGTCAACGCTCACACACGAATAATGGTGAAGTACTGGAGGGTGACTGGTGCCTGGGAAACTGTACCTTAGTGGAAGGAAAATGAATGCTTTCAGAAGACAGAAAAGGGAAAAAAATTGGCAGAGGGGGAAAAACTATTTGTACGATTTACAATGGTATTAATTGTAATATATCCAAGGCGTGTACATAAGCTGAGCTCGATTCACAGAATTTTATGAAGTGCCTTTGAATTAATTGTACTTGGGCTCTGATGTACAAGTTTAGAGTAGGTCACCAAGGTTATGGAATAATTAGAATTGTGCTATTAAAAAGACAAGGAAAGTAATGTAGTAGAAAAGTGGAGAATATTCAGTTAATGAGGGATTGAACCCAGTGTAGATGAAGCCAAGCGCTTTTGTTTGGAAATTAATGAGTTGTTTAACAATGAAAATGAGCTTGTGTGTGGTGATGACTTAATGAGTTACTTCATATGTGGGAAAGTTTGATATCATTCTTTGCCTGCACCTGCTGCTTTTAAACCGCTGTTGCAACTTATTACTTTTTTATGTTTGATAACTTTGCAACTGTCTTTGGCAGTCACGAGAATGAACTGTACTTCATTAGCATTAGAAAATATTTTTATATCTGAAATAAAATAATTGCTCCTGATTTAACTTGTGAACCCACTGCTTTATATGTAGTTTTTTTTTGTAACAGAGTAATTTTAGGTTAAATATTTAATTTCCAGTGATCATTTGTTTGACACAAAGTAAATATTTCTCATTTTAGGTCCAGGTAACTGACACTAACAAGAGGCTTCAAGAAGCTGGGAAGGAGGTGAGAAAATGACTGTTGTGAATACTGCCCCCTTGTCCTCTTTCCTCTCCCCTTCTCCCTTTGGAGCCGAGCTTGGGGTTGGGGTCAGGCGGGATGGAGGGCAGGGTGGGTAGGGGTAGGACCTTTCTCTTCGAAGACCCGGTTGAAGAGGAAGGTTTTGAGATGGGCCTTGAAGGAGTCAAGGGAGGGAGCGAGGTGAAGGGACTGTGGGATGGAGTTCCAAATGGTGGGGCAGAAAGGCTGAAGAACTGATTGCCGATGGTGGGATGGGCGGGGAACAAGGAGCAGGCCGGAGCCCGCTAAGCGGAGGGAGAGAATGAGTTGGTATGGTTGGGATTCACAAAAGATGGGAATGTTATCATTTTGTAATTTTAATAAGTACTCTTAATCCCCAAATTTGCACTTCTGCAGTCTATTGCTGCTGTGGAAGTTGTCTAGTCACCCATGTTACACTAGGACTGCAACAGATTCCAGAGGCTGCAACATTTCAGAGCTACTGCTTGTTAATGTAGCTTCCAATAGAAAAGGTTTATGAATCGGTCACTAATTTACAGTTCAGACAATTGTAAAATGGTGTGTATTATAGCTGACCTTTGTTTCCAAGGTGATTAGCCAGAGTGAAGAGATGATTCGGTGTAGGGTGCAACAGAGGAATATTGCTACTACAGTTGAGAAACTTCAGTTGTGTCTTCCTGGTGAGTAATTTTAATTTTTAATTTTTAATTGTAATACTATTACTGCTATTACCAGCGCCTTGGGAGGTCCTCCTGACGTGAAAGGCGCTATGCAAATGTAATTTTGTTGTTGTTGTTTGTTTTATAGAAGTGTATGGCATTTACTGCTTCTATGTGTTTCACTGAAATTCCAAGGAATAATTTTAAATATAATGCTGCAAACATATTTTGCCTGTATGTAGAGGTAAAGGGTAACTATTTATTGGTATTCAAAAGTTAAATTTAAGAGTGACACAATAGCAGGTAATTTAGAGCAGTTTAATACAAGACATTGTCTATAGTTTTGAAGAAATTGATTTTTTTTGGGGGGGCGAATTGTTTTTGTTTCAGAGAAACTGCTAACTATTTGATGCCCTAGGGTATAAATTCTGAACTTGATGAAATAAAAGTAATTTTAAACAATATTCATCCAATGTTCTGATTCGATAAGTGCTTTATCAAATCAAAGTAAATAATAACTATTTTTATTACTGCTCTGTTAGGTGCAACTGCAAAATCTATATGAATTTTAATGAAGATTTTTATATTTAAGTTTAGGACCTAGATTTCAATATTTTCAGTCCATTATAAATCTGATCCCACCCATTTTTAGCATGCTGATTTTGACACTTATGTACTTCCCAATCGAGCCTCCAGGTGGATACGTTGTCATGCCCTCTAGGTATGATGGGGGGAATGGGCGGGAAAGCAGAATATACATTTTAAGAAGGATCAGTACAGTCTTACAAGACCACACAAAATTGGATGGGGGAGGCGAGCGGAAATCTTTTATCATGACCATAAAGAATGGGAGGGTCACATTTTGGAAAGAAGGAAGGAAAATGCACATTTTAAAGTTGCTCACCCTAAGAAATGGTTCACTCTGTGCACTTGAGAAACTTAAATTTCCAAACTCTTCAAAATGTCATGCTTTTCCATTCTGGACAATTTCCCCTTCGTGATTTCTGTCTCTTTTATTCCTCATTCTGCTTGGCTTCTAGGATTTAGCACTATTCTCTTTCACAGCAAAGAATGGTATTAGGAGATGAGTTTATTTCCCTCCTTCCCAAGTAAATCACTACATGTAACCTTTATACAGCTCTATGGCCATCTAATGTAAAAGCTGTTAATAGTGGTTTCTCCCTTGTTTTTCATTTTGCTGAAGTAATTATTGCCAGATTACAGGAATTTAATCTGCAGTGGATTACTGGAATAATGCTCTAAATCATGTGTGCACTTTATTTTTCATAATCTGACAGCAAAGTTATTACTTTACAATGATAGTTCTATTATGAGTAGTCGCCCATCACCCCAGTCCTTGCCAGACTGCACTGGCTGCCTATCCCAGAGAGAATCGAATTCAAGATCCTCACCCTTGTATGCAAGTCCCTGCACTCCTCTGCATCCCTCGACCTCTCTGACCTCCTCTCTCCACAAAACAGTACCCGTTGCCTTCGTTCCTCCAGGTCTGGCCTCCTCTTCGTCCCCTGAGTCCTCCGCTCCACCTCGGCGGCCGTGCCTTCAGCCACTATGCCCCGAGGCTCTGGAACTCCCTTCCTCACTCCCTTTGCCTCACTCCCTCCCTTCCCATTTTCAGGTCTCTGCTGAAGTCCTTTCTTTTCGACCGCGCCTTTGGTCACCTTCCTCCCCCTCCCCCTGGCTCGGTCCCGGGATCCGTTACTGTAAAACGCTCTGAGACGCCGTCCGGCATGGAGGGCGCTATATAAATCCAAGTTGTTGTAGTTGTTGTTGCAGTTTTTCGATTTTTTTTCTTTTCAGTCAGAAAGATGATTTTTGTTTTCTGATCAATTATTCTATTTGAACCTATTAAGTGCCAATAAAGTTTTTATTTAGCCACATTGTATAATCTTAAAAGAACTGCTATGAATTACAGCTTTTTAATACACTGTATTGGAAACAAACTAAATATTTGTAACCATATGGGAAGAAGGTGAAATGTTACATTTTGAATGCCATTTCCTGCCATTTACATGACTTCTAGCCCCCCCCCACCCCCAGTAGAAATCAAAACTGGTAGAGTCATAAGCATACATACATCTGTTTTTCTTCCCTTGATTCCTGCCAAATAGTCTGGAACCAGGTGTGAAGAGCAGAGGTCAGCATTATAAGTACTCGTACTGTGTGGTTACAATTTTTTTTATTTGTTTAAAAATAAGTGAAATTTGAAAATGGATTTCATGCAAAAGGTAATTTGTGATTCACCAAACATTAAGACAATTTAATTTGTAGCCGAGCATTGATTCTGAAGGTCTGGACCTTTTGACAAAAGCTCGTCTATCAAGATCTGTTCAAAGAGAATTCATTAATGAAGCTGAGCCTAAACTAACCAGAATGCTGTTATTTACTTGAAGCAAATGTTACGGTTAACAAAGGGGGAAAAAATGAATTACATTAATTTTGAAACCCAAATTGAATCTTGGGTAATGATTTGAAAAAATTAAATTGCCATATATTGGAAGTTTGATACATTGAGTCAATGCTGATACAAATTCTAGTTTTGTATTTTTTTATTAAGTGTTAAACACTTTGCCTATACAATTTTAAATAACATTTTAAACAAACTAGTTTACAAAGCCAATGTAAAGTAGTTAGAGGGCTTTTATTCTTGTGCTATTTCTGCAGGATGAAATCTAGCAGGAAAAGTAAGGTAATTTTACTTGTACAAAATGGAGTTTCTCTTGGGGGCCATACACAAGGTAACAATCTGAATCAACACCATATTTTAATGAGCTGTATTATCAACTTAAGACAATCGTGTTTCAGTTACTTGGTCTGAAAATAGAAGTCTTCAGAAAATTCACTCTCAATCTTTGCACTAATGTTGAAGTCTTCCATTGTATGTGGAATAATGTTCGAGTGTGTGGTATTGGTATGCTTTTTCTCTTTTCCTTCCATTCTTGCATACATTTACACACTGAATTGCCTTGCAGTATATCCCCAATTTTCAAAACTGACATTATGGGGTTGAAAGCAATTTTTTGTCGTTTTTGTTTTTAATGTTGCGGTCTTAGGATCTCAATACTTCTGAATCGAGGTTGGGAAAAAATGTGACCACTCACAGCGTATTTTTAAAAAGAGCTGTGCCCGACATTATTTTCTTTTCTTGGATGACTACTTAGATTATATTATTAATTCTGCTTTTCTGCTTACGCTTTGTATTTATAGTATTGGAGATGTACAACAAAGCAAGAGAACAGATGAAAGCTAAAAGGTAATGTGATAGTTTCTGAGCACTAAAATAATTCAANTTTTTAGTGGAATGTTAGAATGCAACAGATCATCCTTTTCCATAATTTTTAATCATTTTGATGTCCTCATTTAAACAGTAGCATTGAACAAAATAAACTACTAATTGGTGTAAATTTCTGAGTGTACATTCTGCAGGTGGAATAATTGCTTCTGTAAAAACTTGATAATATACATTTTAAAGAAAAGGAAAAGGTTAGAGGCCTTCATGCAAGCAATTGAAACAAGGNTTTTTTTTCTTGGGGAAATTGAATAGTTATGCTGTGACTTCTGTTGCATATGATCTTAATTTACCAATGGAGTAAACCTTGTTTAAATAAACTCAAAATTGGTAGGATGTAAATTAGTAGGATTATGAAAACATACTGCTCCAGTACTTCTTCTATGTTAATTAAAGTAGATAGTATACATTAGTCTCAATAAAGAACACCAAATGAAACTACTGACTCTAATGATGATGTTTGACAGAGGCTGAACTGTTCTGAAAATGTTATGGTTAGTTTTTTAGAGGACCACATTGTGGCAACCACTATATAAGGGTGAAAACTGACATTTTATGAAATCACGTAAGTTTATCAGGAGCAGATGGTTGGCAAAGAGAACTGGAATATAATGACATAGGGTCCACAATGTCAAGTGGTCAATGGAATGCTAAGAACTCCTTAGCCCACTTGAACATTTAGCTATTAAATATTATCAAAGGAAATGTCATCACAGACTGCTCATTCTGGTAAGTGTGAAATAATCTTTGCTGTAAATTTTCTTCCTATACAGTGTTTACTAATTTGTTAATCCTTTTGCAAAGTCATTCAATTAAAGTAAGTCATGAGCTGTATCTATAATCTTAAAATGTACAAATTATTCTACACCTCTGGCATTTATAGCATTTCTGTTATATTTTCAGAATATGATCTAATTTGAAGGTATTAATGGTGGTCACTTGCATTTCCTCAGGGCAACTTGTGAGCATCAAGCCTACCTTTCCCTGAAAGATCTGCCTCCCCCACCCCCACCCCCTGCCCCCCCCCCCCCCCCACCACATCAATCATTTAAAAAAATTAGGACATGTGCAGGCAACTGGTTTGTATCCAATTCTCTGCGATATCTCGAGAGTCCTAAAGGAGTTTCACCATTTCACCCATATTTGAGGTTCCCCTCCCCTTCTATCAGACTAACACGCTGTGGAAAATCCTTTGTACTTTGAGTGTTGATTTCTATCAAAGCTTGGTAATCAATATGTTGTAAATCTGTAATTACATTACAAAAATAGACATTGGATAGGAATATTCTGTATTCTATTTAGCTTTGGCTAGACTTTTTTTGTGATGTGTTGCCGCTTACCCTTCTATACTCATTTTTCCATCCCAGATCAAATTTAGAATTGATCCCAACATGTCTCTTAACTTCCTTAAACTTTTTAATCTTGTAAGTCATGCAGTCATTAAGCATTTCATGTGAAGGAGTCTTGGCCTGTGCTGTTTGATTATTTCTTCTGCATGAATGTTGCAATTGTACTGTGTCCTATAAGGGCACACAGTAAGGTGCAAAAATATTTGTTGCATTGTGTACCAATATAACAACAGACAACAAAATATAGGTGTAAATCACTGCTCATGGTACGATGGCTTCTTCATGTGTATCTATGTATAATAGGCATATTTTTAAAAAATGAATCTGTTCATTTTGCAGACGATTGTGTAATAGTCTACAGACTGTAGACTTGAGGACTTAGGTGAGGGTAACGTCTGTAAGAATATACTATTCTTACAGACTATATATACTATTACTATATATATACTATACTATATATACTAAGAATATACTATTCTTACAGTATAAATATATTATACTGACAATTTTACTATTATCCCAAATCTCAACATAAGATTTCTAGCAATAAATGAAGTTAACATACTATTTTCTAAATCTGCATGAACGCTACTGACGGTGGGTATATGAATTTCCACCCCTCCCAACAAAAAATGGTATCGAGAAGGATGTAAATTATTTAAAACCAATTTGTATGGGAAGAAGTATAGAGAATATGAGCACAGTTGGAAGAGCATAATTTCTTTAAAATTGGTTTGATCAATCATAATGTATTGTAAATTAATTTTTAAATTTAAATGGTTATTGTTCTCTCTTGCACTTATCATATTTTCTTTGCGCTTATTACATTAGTTTTCTGCAGTCGTTAACATATTAGATAAATGAGTAAAATGCATGTTAAACTAAATTTGTGCCACAGCTGTGCCTTGCTAATAGACTAAATCCATGATTTAATGGGACCACAATGTATTTTAGATCTCAATACAATTGTGTAATAATTTTCTAAGATGATGGATAACGGTAATTATTTTAAAAATCATGATGTGACATGGACATTGCTTCAAACATGATTTTGTTGTTTGAGATCACTTTTGGTTTACAACTCCACATTACAATAAAGTCATTTGTGGAAACGATAAATTTGAAATCGAGGAACGTTTTCAAAGCTATCTCTTAGCTTTGATATCTCTACTTCATGTAGCTAGAAAGTGATTTTTTTTACTATTATTGGCACACATTTTTTTCCTTAAGACGTAGAATTGTTGCACTATGGTTTACACAGACTTATTCATTGTTTCATTTTATTAAAAATAACGATGAAGAACAATCATAAGAGCAACTTGAAAAAAATATCTTTGGAAATTTAACACAATAGAAGTAACACAACACTGAGCCATTTTCATGTCGGGTCTGACCCTATTATCATTGTAATGACCTGATCGTAAGAGACTGAATGGAATTAAAGCTATTTTAATTTTGGTAAACTGAGATGAGATTATAGAAAATGATTAACTCCTGATATTTGAGGAGCCCCTTTTAGTGTTCTGTTTTAGTGTTACAATACTGATTTGAACAATTAGAAAACGTTTTGATTATGGAGAGAGCCATTTACCTAGCCTGATAGTAAATGTAATGTAATCTTTTTTGAAAATCAACATTGGTGCCCGTAGTAAAGTTAATATTAGTTGATTAGTTTTTTCTATCCTACAAACCATCATGCAAAATTAGATCAGAGTTTTACGTTCACCAAAATCTAGCCTTCAAATCTTAATGTAAGCTATGTTGCTACATATACACTGTTATCATTTTTACTTAATATTATAATGTAAAACAATTTACCTTGGTGAAAAATGGTTTAATTATAATAAACAACATACAACATAATAGAAAAAAATTGAGACTGTAACAATTGAACATGTCTTTTAAAAAGTAAGACTAGTTTTAATTATGTTGCTTGTGTAGATTAATGATTTATGATAAATATATAAATTATTCATGATTGGTGTGGCTGTTGAATGGCTTCAGGCACTAAATCAAACTCCAAAATTCTGAATCCTACTTTAAGAGAACTGTTTCAGAAAGTAATGTTTTTCAACCCAGATAGGCGGAAAATTATTTCTACTTGTCAATTTTAAGATCAATATTTGGAAAAAATGTTCTATATTTTCACCAAATGGAGGTTTTATTCCTTTTGTGTTTGTCATGTTTAACAAATACATGGGTATTTACATACGGGTTTTAAATTATGACCTGTAGTTGACCTGCAAATTAAAAAGGCCTCAATATTTTATGAGAACAGATGTTAAAAGGCCAAGGTCTTGTTCTGCAGACAGATATAATTAGAGAGAGGTTACAGAATGGATTTGAGATGGATTATGTATGCATGTTGATCACAAAGTCAGGACTTCCAGATGAACTAACCGAGCTAGCTTAGTTAAACTGATAAGTATAATTTGAATAAAACGGTTTATATGATTTTGATGCTATTATGGATTTATCCACTTCAAGCTGCATTATGTGGTGCACTTTGGCTTTGGGCATTGCTCTTTTCAAAATGTGATAAGGGCATAACCTAACAAACGGACCATGCTGTATTGGTATTAGACAGAATAAACTGCCTACGAGTACAGCAGATCACATGTCATCCAGGATAAAATGTCCTTAATTTGAACTTGAAGCTTCATCTTATGGTCATCATATCATAAGGACTGTCAAGATTATTAGAGAGACCAGCTGTTCCCACATGCCGTGCTGGTAACACATCACAGGACAACCCGGTTGTTGCGTATTATAGTTCCTATACAATCACCCCTTTAGGTTTATCTGTTTTCTGAATCTTTAACATGTGTTTTCGTTAGCCCTGGTCAAGCACTTTCTTCTGAAAAGACAGGACTTCAAGTAAGCCCAGATGTAAAGTGCTTGTTTCTCTTGCGTAGAATTAATTTATGAACTATTATAAAATTTTCTGAAGATAATTTAAGATGCCCATTCTTGAAAATGAAAAAGTATCTACACTCTCTAATTTGGAATTGTTTTTCATTGAGATGGATAACCAATATGTTAATTTTGATTGTTTAGTTTCAATTAAAGGATATGGGGATAGGGTGGGTAAATGGAATTAGGTTAGAAGATCAGCATGATCTTATTAAATGGCAGGGCAGGCTCGAAGGGCCGAATGGCCTACTCCTGCTCCTACTGTCTTATGGTCTAATTTTAGTGATTTTATTATCTAACCTAAGATATTTATCCTTGATATCATTTTATAATTGAACTTGAGAGCAATGAACTAAAGTTTTGAAAATCTTTTTCACAGTCTATTAAGGGTGACTCAGTGAAATCAGCTAAATTTGTATACAAATTTCCTTTAATTTCAGATATTATTCTGCTTTGAAAACAATGGAACAACTGGAAAATATCTATCTTCCTCGGGTTTATCAATATCGTTTCTGTCAGATCATGTCCGAAAATATTCCCAGACTGCGAGAAGAAATCAAGGAAATATCCATGTCTGATTTGAAAGATTTCTTAGAAAGCATTCGGAAGCATTCAGATAAAATAGGAGAAATGGCAATGAAGCAGGTGAGGAAACAGAAAAATGTTTATTTTGACCTTCACCTGTCTTCCCCTCCACTTCTGAAGATGTTGACTCGTGCTAGGATAATGATACCATGGGAACCACTCTTCCTCCAGTACCAATGCTGAAGTCACCGTTCTAATTATCATCCGTGATGGTAAATGTCGTCTGGCTCTGGTTTGTTTCTCCCCTCCCCTCCCAACCCCGTGCTGGTCTGGTTTTAAAAATTATAATTCATGAATATTTCAGACCCCCGTATTACATAGATATGAAATATGAGTACAGATCAACAACATTTGTGCTATAAGTAATATTTATATATCTTATCTTAAGCTGCAGCAGGTCGTCATGCAAAATGAGCTTTTGAAACATTAGTACAGTCATTTTAGAAAGGCACATGAAAATCTTTATAAAGTCTTTTTGAAACCTGTTTTTTAAAAATGCATGTAACTAGTTATTATGTAAGAAATAATTGTGTTTTATTATATTACTAACTGATTTTTATGATGTACAGTCTCAGCAACAGAGAATGTTCAATAATGCTGTGAAGAAACAAGCCAGTATAAGTGATGGGAGCAAGCTGTACATTACCAATGGCAGGATTCCCCATCAGCCAGATGATGCAACCTCAGAACAGTTACTGGATGAGGAAGAAGAGAGTGAAGAGGAGGTGATTTTATTATATAGTTTTGTGGTTTTTAATAAGAAGGAACTTGCATTTTTGTGCCTTATTTAGCAATATCTTGAATAATTAATGTCAACTGTAATGACCGCCTTGTAAGCAAACCTATCAGTTGTGTTTGCACCAGCAAGGTCCTACAACAGCCATGAGAAAATAGCCATTTCATCTGGAGGATTGCTGGCCCGGCTGCTGGATGAAATGCCCTTGTCTTTTAGAACAGTTTTGTGTTTTAATGCCCTACCTTGACAAACACACAGATCCAAGTCTAATGTATTACCATTGATTTAACTCTTGAAACTGACCAGCAACTATTTCTGCAAACACAATCCTTTTCCCTGCAAATTTGAACCTCTACTTTATTACCTTTCTGCTCTTACATAGTTTAAACCAGAGGGATTAACAATTATCTAATTAAGGAGTATCAGTTTGGCTCAGTTGGTAGCACTCTTGCCTCTGTGTCAGAAGGTTGTGGGTTCAAGCACCTCACAAGGATTTAATCTTATAATTTACAATGATACACCAGTTTAGTAGTAGGTTGCATTGTTGGAGGTTCTGATCTTTGAATGCGATATTTAACTGATGCCTATCTGCTGTTCTGACGTTTCACCTGGATGCATTGCAGTAAGAGTGCATTGATGATTTTATTTCATTGTTTGTGGGATTTTGCTGGTGCAAGTTAACTACTGTGTTCTCAGTAGTATACTTAGTCTACATAGGTTACTTAAATTCAAATTAATCCTTTTGTGATCTTTTTGGTAGTTATTTATGTGATTATGCAATGTATTCAATATTTTCCTGTGTAATTTTATTCTGCATATTACATTTTTTTCAGTCCTGTGTCACTAGCAAATTCCTTGAGTTCTGTATTTGACCCACACGCAAAAAGCTTTACAGGGTAGAGATAGATACTAACTTTATTTGCTGGAAAATATAAAATCAATAATGCTTTGACTTAATTTATTACAGAATCAATAAAAATATCCTTATCTGGTAGTTTATTCTTTAAAGAGCTCAGTTTTAAACTCCATTTTTGAAATACATATTTTTTTTCTTCTTGCAATTTTTAACACTCAGAGCTTGTGCGTCAAATTATCATAGTGACAAACTCCAGATTCTCTACTCGTGTACAAAGCTAACACTCTCATAACAGTATTGCAATGAGCGGCCACTTCTTTGGTTACAACAACAAATTACATTGATGTAGCGCCTTTTACGTTGGGAGGAACACCCAAGGCGCTAGAAACCAAGTAGTAAACATGTTCTAGTAACACTTTATTTCAGGTAAATGCAAAGAAACAAAATAAAAGTTGGCTTTATTGCCAAGACCCTTTCAGTGCAATTCAAACTTAAGTTGCTGATTGAGTATTTTTGGATACACAGAGTAATCCTGCATGTGCTCTACAGGTTCTGACAGCCCAGGATCTCGTGGATTTCTCCCCTGTTTACCGATGTTTGCACATCTATACTGTTTTAGTAAGTGCCTTCTAAATTTCTTGGTAATTCTTTGAAAAACTGGTTATTAATTTTTGAACAAAGTAATATGCTTGCTTCCTATGTCAGAAAAACGGTCTGCTGTTGAGGGGTGGGGAATGAAACAGTTCACTTGAAGCATGTTTGCTTCAACAGGATGTTGAATCTCAAATCTGAAAATGAGATTGTTGGTTTGCTGTTCTTGAAAAATATCTTTTCAGAAATCAAGTTGTTCTCGTCTGTCAAATCATTCCACCTTATAGCTACAGAAGAATTCATGGCAGCGAATACTTCAACAAAGAGAGAAAACAAGAGGTGTAAAGACTTGAAATAAAGCAAAAGACAATTTGGTTACTAAGATGAAATGGTTTCTTCACTAACTGTGATGTTCAGCTATTTAAAAAAAATTATGGTTAATATGTGTGAGATTTATTTGATCTCCAGCCATTGTCAAAAAGGAAAATAAGTGAATAATTCTGCAAGTTCCAAATATCAATTTTTAAAGTCCAAGCATGTTTGAAATTTATTTAAATGAACAATTCGAAGCAAAAGCAAAATGGTGAAACCCCCACATTTTACTTAGAATTGCACATTTTAATAAATTTCACATATGGAGTTTACCTGATGACCTGGAGGGTGAAGGCACCACTGGATGCAGCACAGAGCATATAGACAAGAAGTTTATACTTAAATCATGTTGTATATTTAGCTAGCTTACCTACATTGAGGCCAGATCACTGGATTCATTTTTTAAAAAAAACTTTGATCGGAAGACGGTAGGGTGGGTATTTTGGAAGAATTAGATCAAATGGACCAAAGGGCCTTCATCCAAACTGATTTAGTGACAGGGTTGCTGTTCTGATGGCAATCCAGTGCCTCCTACCAGAAGGTTCTTATTGAATTTATTTTTTGAGAGTGGCATTGTACTAGGCTATGATGTTTAAATATTGAGGCTAAATATCATTCTCTCCTATCTTGGTTCACACATGAACAGTGACCTTTTATTTTAAGACTCTGCACAAGGTAGTTAAGCTAACGGGTGGGTGAAAATTATTTGGGAGAGTTAAACAACCCGTTGCTCAACCTGTCTAAATAGTATGGGGAAATAATTACAAGACAAATGGACTACTGGGCTACATTACAGAAATCAGTTCAAATCTCCAGAAGTCATACTTGAGCTGTTTGGTGGTCTGGTCAGGCTGTATCTGGATTATTTGTACATTTCTGATTGCTGCAGTATAAGGAACTGAGGAGCAATTTGATAAGTTGTTCCTCTTTGGCCTGATAGTCATCTCATAGAAGAAATTGTATAGGTAGATAAGCAATAGTACAAATTATGTTAGTTTATTCAGTTTTTTTTTCTATATTAGTGTTTCAGTATTTATTTGTCTATTTCCTGAACCTTTGCACATTACTGCACCAGTAAAAAAATAAACTCTGAGTGACCTTCTAAAAAGGGAGTTCATTTGCAAGATCCAAGGTAATTTTTGTTAAAAAAAACAGTGATTGATGTGCAGTAATTTTGACTGACAGCTTGCAAAAGCTTTGCCCAAACTAGTTTTCTGTCTCAACGTGGCAATTTAGTTTTAACCTCATGAAGTATTTTGTTATTGTAGAACCAAAGCAGTATTAAGGGATACATTGAGTTGAGACAGACGCCTATTCCAGCTGGTGCCCTTTGTTTCACAACCAGGTGAATCCTTAAGATCAGGTGTCATGAATGGAATCAGCTGAGTCCTTCTACATTAATCATTCTGCAAGCTTTAGAGACAATCTGTCATCAGTAGCTCCCCACTTCAACAGAACTTGATAGCACTGTAGCATCAGAGAATAGCAGAACTTTGGTGGAATTTTGATTCCTATATAAGAGCATCCTAGAATGCTAAAATGCAGTAGACAATATGATAGAAAACTTATAAAACTTGACATAAGTCAAGTTAATTTTAGAATGGTTCTGATGCATTTTATTCATAGACATGATGTTCATTTCATGGTAATTACCTTTAACTTTCTTAAATTTAAAACCTCTCCTCTTACCCTGAAAGTAGTAACTTCTAGTGGAATATGAATGCAGTTGAAGCTGTTATAAAGGCAGTTGTAGTGGGGGGGAAATAACAACTTTGCAACCCATCTTATAACAGAGTCCGATCAAGAGCAGCAATGTGCACAAAGCTTCCTGCCCCAAACATTATCACTATTGGGTCACTGCTGACTTTCTGTACACTGGATAAGAAGGGGTGACAGTGGTGGCCTGATTACATAGTCAGTTCTTTTAAAATAATGGTTAAACAGCCTATTTAGAAATTTGCCTTCTTTAATGGGCTTTGTATCTATTGCTTTCATTTGATGACTTCGGCCCATCCTTCCCAGTGTGGAACAAGCTGTTCCATGTTATTTATAATGGGAGATTCACTGACAAATGTGTTCTTCCTGTATGAGAGATTCAATTCTCTTATTTCCGAGATACTGCTTCACGAGCATCTCATTCAGAGTTCACTTACTTTATTATTATGAATTATTTTACAGTACAGTTTAACCTCTGTTTACTTATTGATTTATTGGTATCATATGATGTAGGATCAAAGATTGCCCATTTTTCAACTATCCTCCAAGTGGAATCTGCAAAATTGGTCAAAATATGCCAAGTGATTCATGACGAGAAATGGGATTTAAAGGTCCACTTGACTCAGTTGGTTTCATTCTTCTTCGAGTCAGAAAGTTGTAGGTTCAAGCCCCATTTCGAAACTTTGAGCTTATGTAGTGCTGGGTAGCGTTGTGTTAGAGGTGGCGCTGTTTTTTGGAAGAAATGTTAAACTGAAGTCCCTACAAATAAATGCACACTCACTACTCTTTGTTGTATTTTGATGTAATGTTATTCTTAAACTCCCATCTCTAATTTGAGACTGTTGTATTCTTAACCATTACACTTTTGTCATGTCTTAGCCCATCAACCACTTAATTGTTGTCTTTTTTGGAGTAAATTGAGGTACTTCAAACAAATTCCAGTCTGTTGTATTTAGTGTTCATGATTTTATAGGTTGATTAAATTGCATGTTGATTTTGTTCATTGGTGATGTGGTCTGTGCAGATGAGTAAAGTTGTGGGTGGTCTGACTTTATTTTGGAAATGTCCCTTTTCGCAACTTGGCATCTCCATAGATCAAGTGCGAAGAATGACGAGAAAGATAAATAGCCTGTTCTGGAGTGAGCAATTGATCTTCGGATTTTTACTTTTTGAAAACTTGCTGTTTTAAAACTAAAGAAAATCATTTATCAGTAGCATTCCATCATGACAGAAATACTGTTGCTTTTTAGCATGGATGTTCATAGTATGTCCATTTTGTGCAGTGTGAAACCTTAAAGATCTCATTCAACCATGGTTGGTTTAGCGTGTCTTATTTTTTTGATGGCTTAATGTTTATAATGCATTGTAAATAACATTCTTTTGCATTAGTTTTCCCATTGTTTATTTGATGCACTAATTGCTTCAGTAGTTCATTGAATATTGTACATATTGACCTGTGTATGGTACATCCTCAATTTATTGGTTATAACTACAATCTTTCACAATATACATTTTTAGTGAGTCAGATTTTCAGGCACCAGTGATGTGAATTCTGTGAAAGGGTTGAAATGTTACCACCCATGTTTCCAACAGAAGAGCCTGATGCATACCTCTCTAAAATGAATCAAGCTTCATCTTTTGCATGTATGGCTACCACCACACAATACATCTATTATAATGAAGCGTAGGTGGATGTGGTTGAAAAAATGCACAAATATTTCCCTTAATGGAAAATTGTCCCTCTGTCTGGGATTTTTCTGTTTACATNAAAAACACTGTGGGTGTTCCATCTAAAAAAGTGGCCCACGCTATACTTATTTTACTATTGGAAAAGCCTATTATATCCAAAGCATTAATACCAGGTCCTTAAAGAATTAAGTAATAGAATGCTAAACTGCTCTGACCTGGCAATAACCTCCTCAGTAAAATTAAAACATATAATGCTAAGCTGCTTTATTCAGCTTGCATGAAATTGTATTGCATTCATGGGAAGGATGAGTCGATAGTATTTCGAAACAATAGTTTCAAACAGACAGATGGTTCCCCCAGAGTGGATCACTTATTGAAAACGACAGCATTTCACTCAAGCAGTTCATAGCCCAATTGAGTAGATATGGCATGGGTGATAGTCTCCTGACTTTAACGTTAGCAATTGGTAACTCAAATTTTGAGACACTGCTGGCTGTTGTGTTTCGCCCACAAAATATACAGTCAATTCACTTTACAGTATATTCTGTAAAGCGCGTTGAGACGTCTTAAAGACGTGATAAGGTGCTACAAATGCAAGGATTATTATTTATTATTCAATTATTATAGATTTCACCCTGTTTCTGAATGAGCATAAATTTGGGTTTGCCCAGGGTGCTATTTGTAATGCAAGTAGAACATTTTGCTCCTGTTACAAAATTATTTGATTTATTTTAAAAATAAGAGTAGTTGAGCATTATTTAGTTTAATATTGTTCCTTCAGCGTGATGTCTTGCACTTTAAATCTAATTACCAATATGAAATGCTGCACACTTTGTTATTAAATGGTCAAGTGGCAGTGGTGACATTGACGATGTTTGTGATTTAAACAACGAGTAATTTAGTTCATCTTACACAACTTTAAAATGTATTATTGGGGTGATTTGCAGTGTTCATTTTGTTTCTTGAAGTATTGATCTGCAGCAATTAAATATTAATTTGTTCGTGCCTGATTGGCTTTATTTAAACCAGATGTTATATCTGAATTGTTATATCAGTACATTGGTAGTGAAATTTAACATTTAGAAATGTGCTATTGAAGCTTCAACATGCAGTAATTGAGCATACTTTTATACTGCAAATGCTGCAAGTATAATAATAATAATCCTTGCATTTGATATAGCGCTTTTCACGTCGGGAGGACGTCCCAAAGCGCTTCACAGAACACACTGTAAAGTGAATTGACTTTATATTTGTGGGCGAATGCGGCAGCCAATTGTGCACAGCAATGTTCCACAGTCGTAGATTGAATATGACCAATTTATTATTGTTTTCAGTTTTTGGAGAGATTATTATTAGGCGTGTGGAGTAAGGAAATTTGCCCAAGGTTTCGCCCTGCCTGGAATTGAACTCAGGTCTCTCGCTTGCAAAGCGAGTGCTCTAACCACTGAGCTACAGGACTCCACTGTATGAAATAAAAGCAGACATATTAGGAGGCTTCTGAACATTCTAAAGAAAGAATATGCTGAAGCATCAACACATTTTCCTTTCAGGTGCCGATTAACTTGTAGATTTACAGAATTTCTGTTGAAAACTTGGTACTTTTAAAACTGAAGAAAACCATCTATTAATCAAAAACATTTTCTTACTTCAGGCACGTAATATCAGCATCCATCCAGATAGACATGCAAATTTAAAACGAATATTAATAGAATCAACATAAACAAAGATATTGAAAATGTTAGGCAGTTCTGGATTTCAACGTTTGTGCTTCTATCTTTTGTGGGTGATGTTTACAAAGATTTGCAATGAATGTACAGCATGGAAACCGGCCACTCAGCCTAAATAGTCACTCACATGATGTGTAAGAGAAAGAGGCCTCAAAATTAAAAGCTTACTGAGAAAGGGGTTAATATTAAAAGGGCCTTTGGAATTCAAATGCATAATTATTTAAATATTTATTTTTGTAGGGTGATCGAGACTCTTTTGAAAACTATTATAGAAAGCAACGAAGGAAACAAGCGAGACTTGTATTGCAACCACAGTCAAACATGGTAATTTATTTTTTTAATTATTGTGCTTAATTATTCATTTTCTTCCCTCCCATTGACTTATACCCCCTGCTCCTGGTTCCCCACCACTTCATGCTGGAGTACAGTTTCACGGGCACTGTACTTGCTTTCTGGTACCCTGTCTTAAGTGATGCATTGTTCATGGCTGCTATCACTGCTGAGCCTGACCTTTTTCACACAGATGCCACAAGCACATTATCAGAAGTTTGCTGAAGGGAGACCAGGAGCATGATCTTGGCTGTTTTCCCCCCCTCCCTACACCAACAACAACAATAACAAGATTTCATTTATAGAGCGCCTTTCACGTCGGGAGGACGTACCAAGGTGCTGGACAGTTGGGTCAGGACCCGAGCAGGGGGGAAATGGTCAGGGTGAGGGGAGGGAAGGGAGGGAGCGAGGAGGGGGTAGAGAGTCGAGAGGGGAGCTGAAGGCATGGTCAAAGAGAAAGGTCTTGAGACCGGCCTTGAAGGAGGAAAGGGAGGAAGCAAGGCGAAGGCACTGGGAGATTGAGTTCCAGAGCTAGCTCTGGTTATAGCCAGGATCCACTTAGTCAACTCAAGCAGCCCTGGCTGAAACTGGCAAACAATATGGACCCAAGATTTGAACCACTGAGCTACCAGTTTGTAAGATTAAACTATAACCACTACACTATCAGGTGCCATCGTAACCATTTTTGGTGGTGATTGAAATCTGCACTGCAGTACAACCCTGTGTGCCCATGTCGTGTGTGGTTTTGCTTAAACTAAGTGTGGGTCTACTACTATCTAAGGAGTCAGGCTCCGCCACTATTAAGCGCTCTGAGACGCTACCTTGCATGGAGGGCACTTTATAAGTGCAAGTTGTTGTACTATACTGGAAGTGATGTTAATCAGGCTTCTGGCATTGACGAGTGGAAGTGGTGTCAGCAATGACCCGATGCCATGGAATTCGGCCATTTTCACACTTAGTTTACAATGTAGAATCTGAGTAGTTATAATCGGGGTTGCCCTGTGATGGTATTGTCCGATTATCTAATTTGTTCTCATTAATTTTCTTTTTGACAGCATGAAACTGTTGAGGGCTATAGAAAGTATTTTAACCAGATCGTTGGGTAAGTTATTGCGCCCTATTGAAACCTAAAATATTTTCAGTTCACTGTTTCACTGTGGAAATAGAATTCATGTTTTTTTAAAATAGTATTGAATAATTGTTCATATGAGATTTTTTCATTAACATGTTTTAATTTTAAGAACATTACATTCTTAAAGTTTTTTGTCTGATCTTTAGATTTCTTGTAGTGGAAGATCACATATTACATGCAACTCAAGGATTAGTGACGAGAGCATACACGGATGAGCTTTGGAACATGGCACTTTCAAAAATTATTGCAGTCTTAAGAACACATTCGGTGAGTCAAAGTATTGCAATATTACACTTAAATATTTTAGTGGTGGTAGAAGTGGGTGGGAAAGAACACGTTTGCTGGTAGGTGTATGTCAGAGTCATTCAAAGTGATGAATGATTACATCTCTTTTCTTTGACTTTTTTTTGTAATTAAAAGTTACTTAAATTTGGAAGAGGGCCTGCCAAGCTTTTGTTTTTCTCAGCAGAATCAGGCTTTGAGCCACATTTATGGGTTATTTGCATAATCCTTTAGTGATTTACAATTGACTGAGCCTTCCAAACATGCTCTTAGTCCAGGAGTTTAGAATATGCAGAGTTAATCTGCTGTTATTGTTGCAATCTGTCCTCATTAGTCTCAACTGACCTCTTCATTAGATCAGATTGAATAGTTCAGTATTGAAAGCACCACCAGGAAATAGTTCCTAATTATCATTCCAAATGCTTTGTTTTCAAAATAAACCCCCACCAGTGAAACTTGTGGTGCTACCCTTATGTGCCAAATTAAGATATTTAGAACACAGTAGGGCATTATGTAGTCCACAAACTAAGTAAAATAATAAACGCAGCAAATTTATGATGAAAGTTTATATACATAGAGTGTTGAATTGTTCTGTGGCTGACCATTAATCTGTGGCATTTTAATTATTGTGAATATGAAGTTGAATCTGCAGATTTAAGTGGGTTCTTTTGCAGTGTGTGAATTATAAAATACACTTTGATTTTGTGTAATAGATGTCAGAAGAGAGTTGGTCATCAAAGCTGTTATTTGGTTAATTCAAATTGCGTTAATTCTATTTTTGACTTTATTTTCATTAAATGTTGCAGTGGGTTGAATTTAGGAAAAAATAGAGTTGGCTTGTATGAATACTTGGGACTGAAAACAGAATAAAATTAGTATTTTTGAAAATTATTAATATTTACCCCACAATCAATTCCTCCCCTTTGTACTATTACAGAAATTCAGTAAGCTCAGCAATATCTACAAAAACTGTCACTAAACTTGACTTCAATTATTGCAAAGCATTTTGACATGAGTTATTTCAATGTAAGAAGGCACTCCAGTTCTTTCTTTAATGTTTAAAGTTTGTATTCTAATTAATAAACATTCTAATAATAATGTGGAAAAGAAGTGGTACCACATCTTTCCCATATGAAAACTGAAGAGAAACTGAGAATGCAGTATCACAAAAAATAATTAGAAAGATGAGAACAACCTATTTTTAAAGCTTTATCATCGCCAGCAAATGAAAAACAGCAAGATTGATATGGTTGCATCATCAGCACATTGAGATTAGTTTTTGATCCAAAGAAAGTGGGAGGTGTAAATTAGTAAAATTTGTTAGTGGCCCCATTGAGACCACGCCTTAATGCATAAACTTGTCTGCAGCACTATTAAGGGTTAAAGTAGTTATATCTTTAATAGTGCGGTGGTTTGATCACTCAATATCATCACATTCCTGCAGAAAATAAATCTTTGTATCATATAGAAATGCATTATTCTATTGTACGTGTTTTCTGTGGGAGAATGCAAGGGATTAGTGTTCTGTAGAAAATGTTAATGTCTTTCTTTTGTTGGCAGTCATATTGTACTGATCCTGACCTCGTCTTGGAGTTGAAGAACTTGATTGTTGTCTATGCTGACACTCTGCAGGTCGGTGTTAGTTATTCAACAAAGAATTTGCTAAAATATATTTGAATCTAAACCTTTTATATTAAAATTCTGAACTTCATGCACTATTTCAAATGATCAGATGGATAGGGTTGACTCATGGCAGGCTAAATTGTACATCATCTGCAATGTAAATGGTAATTTCTTGTTCAATGTTGATTAGATTCCTGTGTTCCAAGATTGGAGAAATCCTTTTCAAAAATAAGCTTTTTATTTGATGTAGCACCTTTCACATGGTGAAGACATCTCATTAATAATAATAAAAATCTTTCTATTTGATATAGCGCCTTATCACATAGTTGTGACGTCTCAAAGCACTTCACAAGATGTACTGTAAAGTAGATAGACTGATTGTATTTTGTGCGTGTTTCCCAGGATATAGTGTAAAGTGGATTGATTATTTTGTGGGTGAGATTTTACTGTAAAGTCTAGAAAGATAATAATCCTTGAAATTTGTTTAGCGCCTTATCACATCTTCGAGACGTCTCAAAGAGCTTCACAAAATATACGATAAAGTGAATAGACTGTATATTTTGTGGCAAAATATGGCAGCCAATTGCACACAGCAGTGTCCCACAAACAGTCGTGGATTGAAGTGACCAATTTATTAATTTTTTTGAAGGAATTATTACCTCCGAAAAGCGATCCGCCAATCGACTAACAACCGGGTTCCTACTTACTGCTAGGTCAACAGAGGCATGTGGAGTAAGGAAACTTGCCCAACATTTCACCCTTCCGGGAATCGAACCCAGGTCTCTCGCTTGTGAGACGAGTGCTCTAACCACTGAGCTACAGGACTTTTTGTAGAAAGATTGTAGAAATCTTTAATCTTTTAATTGTTCCTTAACTAACTTCTGTTTAATACTGTGTATATGAACGTTGGAAAACACAAGGCTAGCTCCTTCCACACAGTTTGGTGAAACGTGATATATGTTTTCAATGCTTCTCTGGAAATTTACATCAAATTATTTGAATTGGGCCAACTTTTTGATCATAACAAATTTGTTCAACGTTTGCTTCTGGCATCTCTATCTTTTATAGTATATAGTTGTCTGCTATTTAAAATCGTAGTTACTTAGATGGATGAATGTCAGCATTCACATAATAATAATAATAATTCTTGCATTTGATATAGCGTTTTTCATGTCTTCTAGACGTCTCGAAACGCTTCACAGAATATACTGTAAAGTGAATTGACACTATACTTGTGGGCGAAACGCAGCAGACAATTGCGCACAGCAGTGTCCCACAGTCGTGGATTGAAGTGACCAATTTATTATTGTTTTCTTTTCTTGAGGGATTATTATCAGGCGTGTAGAGTAAGGAAACTTGTCCAAGGTTTCACCCTGCCAGAAATCAAACCCAGGTCTTTTGCTTGTGAGGCGAGTGCTCTAACCACTGAGCTACAGGACTTCATATTAGATCAGGTTCTTTCAATATAGCTAATTCTGGTGAAGGACAATGTAATTCTGCAATATTAAAATAGTTAGGTGATATTTTGGAAAAGTGTCAGTTTATGTATTTTTACGTAATCTAAGCTTTTTCGTTTGTTTCTAATCATTCCTGTATCTTCTTGATTTGTTTCTATAGGGTTATGGTTTTCCTGTGAACAGATTATTTGACTTATTGCTTGAAATTCGGGATCAGTACAATGAAACTTTACTGAAGAAGTGGGCTGCAGTCTTCAGGTCGGTGATCTTTGTATCTTGTCATCAACTATGGGCTTACTCGTTTTATTTTATTCTACATTGCAGATGATTGATTTTAGTATATGGTAATGTATATACAGTAGACTTGCAAACTTATTTGATGGGTGATGAAAGAGAAGGGTCATTGATGCTAAACTTATGATCCTGACTTGGTAGCGCCTAACTGAAGGGTGGGATTTAATTTTCACTAATAAATTGCATTAGTGGCCAATGCGTACAATATTCAACATTGTAGATCTTTTTGCTCGTCTCCATTGCCAGGATGTTGCTATTGAAAGAGGTAAAAGACTGAAGGAAAACCTTTTCTATATTTGCACTAATATCTGTTCAGTTAAATTGCAAAATTAATTAGTGAAAATACCAGTGTATGTTCTCCATAATAATAGAATTGATTACCTTTTAATAGGGAGATTTTTGAGTCCGACAATTACAGCCCCATTCCTGCAGCAAATGAAGAGGAATACAGAATGGTAATCAGCCGATTCCCATTTCATGATTCTGAGCTTGAAAAGGTCAGTTTTAGGCCTATTGTCTTTAAATTTACAGCATTTTTTTCAACTTTGTTTCTAGCTAGCTAATTAACTATTAAAGTTTCAATTTGTGGCAATGGTTATTTTACATTTGGTTTTATAAACTAGTTATCTGTTGGTGCCTAAGGAATATGAACCCCTAGTCCATGCTTTCAGCCACTATGCCCCGTAGCTCTGGAACTCCCTTCCTCACTCCCTTCGTCTCGCCTCCTCTCTTCCTATTTTCAGGTCTCTGCTGAAGACCTTTCTCTTCGACTGTGCCTTTGGTCACCTTCCTCCCCCTCCCCCTGGCTCGGCCCCGGGATCCGTTATTGTGAAGCGCTCTGAGACGCCGTCTGGCATGGAGGGCGCTATATAAATCCAAGTTGTTGTGTATATTTTAAGTTACGTAACATTTATTCTGATTTACCCATGTAAGTTTATATATACAAGGAATACTCTGAACTGATACTCTATTAGGGCATTACTGTGTCTTGTATGTACAATCTCTTGTCCATCTGCATACTTGGACTGTTTAATAAGACAACTTGAGATCTGTTCCACGTATACTAGCCTAACTTAGTATTAAAACTCTGATTTACTGAGTTTAAGTAATAATCAAATCTAAGACCAAAACTCTGGCTATGTGGGACTCACCTAACATAAACCATCAGAGTTAGTTTTATTAAGGTTATGTTTGCTGATTGACTTGATTTGTTTTAACTCCTGCATTACAATAAAATCTTCTAAACCTGTCAAATAAAAAAATATTCTGCAGGTTTTTCATGATGCATTTTTGCAAAGTGCATACAAAATATTTTGATGTTGTGTAAGCTATTTGAAATATACTCATGGCTGTAAGGTAAAAATACTGAGTTTATTGCTGCGAAAACTTTAATTTATTTTGCTTGTGAAGAAAAGGAATTCTAATCAATTATTTTGGCTCTTTTTGACAGAGACCTTTTCCAAAGAGATTCCCAGTGTCTCAATCGGTACCAGAGATCTATAAAGAGTTCAAGGAATTCATTTATGCAAGCCTTAAATTTTCAGAGTCACTGCATCGCAGGTGAGGATAAGATTTTTCTGCCCCTCCACACCCACCCCCACCCCCCACCCCCAATGCACTTGGATGCAAATTTCATACTGCATGATTTGGGAAATTGGAAGCTAAAATCTGTTTGTGAATTTTAAGTTTGTTGCAGCTGTTAGGTACTTGGTTTGTAGATTATGTAAAACTGAAGGAACAGATGGGGAAAGCCAAGGGTATTAACCAATGTAATCCTTCAGTTTTTAAGAATCTGGAGTTGTGCCTAATATGAACTGTCAGCATCAGTATTATTATGGTTATGGATGCTGATTGCCTTGATTTATTTTAACTCCTGCTCTCCAGTACAATTATATTTCTAAACCTGCCAAATAACAAATTCTGTATGTTTTTCACAATGCAAAGTGCATACAAAATATGTTAAAGTTATGGTAATGGTTGTTTTTAGCCTTCTACAAGTTTAATTTCATGTTTTCTTTTTTAATTTTCCTGTAGTTGTATTCTTTAACTTGATTCTAAAGTCTGCTAGTCTTGGCACTAAACTTGCATTTACATGATTTATGTAAAGAAAACTGACCATTCAGTCCATCAAGCTCATTTCCTCAATAAATCATTTACACTTGGCCTATTCAGGTTTTGCTCAGCCCTCGGTATCCTGAAGGAGGCATCAACAAATAAACATCCAAGAAGATAATGCTTTGTGAAATTTCTCCCAATCCCTGGAGAATTGAAATAATCTTAATCCAATTTTGCAACCCACACTTGTAAATCTGTATTCTAAGGATTATTCTTCCAACCCCTTTCATAGGACTCTATACTGTCATTCATTTGTTTGTATCATATATAATATTCAATCCCATTATTGTGTTCCTTTCCGATTTTGGGTTTGCCTGTAATGTAATTAGAATAACCTTTCTGTATACCCTTCATGCAAACCAAGTAACATAGGAGATTCTTGTGAAAATCCTCTACTTACTGCCTTAGCAAGAACTTTTTTTTTTTTACATCTATTATTACCAAGCCAGTTTTCAATTTCGATAGCTAATTTGCTTTTTAATTTTATGTTCCTTAATCACCTGAATAGCCTTGAAGATTCTTGAAGAATTGCTGAATTATGGAGGCATGACTAATATTTTAACGTTTTCCCCAATATGGATTTTCATTGATTTAAAAGTAAAATGGCTCAGCCTTTTTTAAAAAAAATAGTTTCATGTTTTCAAATTATAATACTCTTTTTCAAAGCAATTAAATTATATTGTAGTACCTGTTCGTCCTGCTAGTCTGTTTCACATAGCCAATGTATTTGTTGTATGAATTTTTGACTTATTCCTGACCCAACTGTTCAGCGCCTTGGGACGTTCTCCCGACGTGAAAGGCGTTCTATAAATGGAGTCCTGTAGCTCAGTGGTTAGAGCACTCACTTTGCAAGTGAGAGACCTGAGTTCAATCCCAGACAGGGCGAAACCTTGGGCAAGTTTCCTTACTCCACACGACTAATAATAATCCCTCCAAAACCAAAACCAATAATAAATTGGTCATTTTCAATCTACGACTGTTTATGGGACATTGTTGTGCGCAATTGGCTGCCGCGTTCGCCCACAAATATACAGTCAATTCACTTTACAGTGTGTTCTGTGAAGCGCTTTGGGACGTCCTCCCGACGTGAAAAGCGCTATATCAAATGCAAGGATTATTATTATTAATCTTGTTGTTGTTATCAAACTGAGTTCAATCTGGTTTAATTTCACTAAAATGTTTCATGTCAAATAAAAAAAATTAAATTTAACTTGGAATTTGGCTATTTCTGTGGAGGAGAGAAGCCAATCCACCAGAGATTCAAATCATGGTTTTAACCTAAATTTGATTCAAATGATTTTGGGGCCATTGATACATTTAAATCTCAGGAGATGGGCTTCTTTCTGCACAGTACAGTGGATTAAACAAATTTGGATAATCTACAAGGTGCACTTAATTCTGTACAGCTGCAACCTGAGTGTAAACCAAATTAACTGGGTTGAGGAGGTGGATCTGTTCCACAATTCTTGCAGATCATGGTAATCTTCTTGTTTCAGCTCCACACTTCCAAATTATGCTAAATTATTTGGGATTTTGGGGCGCTTCGATTCCATTACCTTAATTAGCTATTTGCTACTAAAAAAAAATGAAACAAGGAAACCAGCTATAGGTTGCTCAATATTTCAAACAAAAACTTCACATTTGATATTTAACTTATTTGCCACGCATTCCAATGTATCCATATCACTTTGTAGGTTATTTTTTAAATTGTAAAAATAATAGGAGAATAAATAGCATTCACAGATGTGGACTAATTAAGCAGGTAGTCCAAAACGTGGTTAATGTATTTTAATATAACTATCATAAAAGTACAATAAAGCGAACTCCATCGGGCTCACAAACTAATTGTAACTTATTTATTTACTGCATCAGCTACTGCACTTTATGATCCTTACTGATGTAACTTTTGAATTTTTTTTTAAAATCCCTTAAAATAATTCCCTTTTCTCCATTTTAAAAAAAAATCCCTCACTCAATTAACTGTTTAAAAGACCCATTTGCTTTCTTGTCTGCATAATTTTAACACTGTGCATGCTATTGGAAAGGGCATGATCTGAAAGGATCAAAGAAGTTTGAGTACACCCTATGTATGGCGTTGTTAAATATTTCTCATTTACAGCTCAACAGAAATAGACGATATGCTCAGAAAATCTACTAACCTACTGTTGACTCGAACTCTGAGTGGGTGTTTACAAAACCTCATCAAGAAGCCACACATAGGTTTGACAGAGGTATATTTTAACATTGGATTTTATTTCATAAAATGCTGTTTGCCGCAAGAGTTGAACTGAAAAAGTGAAAAATTTTGCTATGCATTGGGAGCAATTTTATCCCAGATTATCCAGACCATATAGGAAGAGAAGACAAATAACCTACAAGGAAGCTCTGTGTTGACCCTGATGGACAGAAGTGTAATCTGTAAAATGTCAAAGATCTGAAGTCTTTACTCATTCTAATAGTAGGTTAGGTGCTAAATGGTTTATAATGGCCTCATTCAGTTCCATACTCCATGGCTGAATCTATATCATGTTGAAATACCAAGAAGTTATACAAAATCTAGTTAAACAATCAAGCTATCTCTAAGAGGTTAGTCTTTGGTTTACTCCATTCAAATCAAATTCTTTGCTATTGTTTATGATGCATACTTCTGCTAGTCTAGTCATGGATCCGTTCCAGCACTGGCTAAGAATTTTTGAATACATCCCTAAAGTGTTTCTACAAATTCTCACCCCTAAAGTGTTTCTACAAGCCAACTTGTTTTCTTTCAAAATGTATGGTAATGCTTGAGCAAATATTTACACGTCTGTTGCCATTAACTAGGAGGTTTTGTAATAACAAAGCTAGTGGTGATCCGATCACGTTGGAGGCAGTTTCACAACAAAGTGAGTTTAACAAGTCTAATAATGGGTTTATATTTAGAACTTATTGTGGAATTTGAAACAGAAAACAAGAATTTCAAAAACTGCAGGGATCTCAAACTAATTTCTCAGAAAATTTCAGTTTCTTAAAGAGAAACCACTTTTACAATGCCCTGGTATTTAGCATGCTGCTCTTTTACTCTGTCCAATCCAACTCCTTTTTTTAATAAACAGTCCAATTAATGGATTCTGTGATGATCGAAGTTTGACTATCAATTTGCTACTTTCCTCAGCATATCATTTCCTTTGACTAATCATTCAAACTGCTTTCACGTGCTGCTGAACTAGTGTTACCTAGTTGGTCTGTTCTTTACTCCTGCCCCCCCACACACACGCACACACCAGACCTGTGTTATGAATTTGTTTTCCTTCCATCTGAAACTGATTTGGTAAAAGTGGCAGAAAATAAAATGTTTTCTGAAAAATACATAATTAGTTTATAGTTTAAATGAAAAAAGCTTTTTCGTTTTTCTTGACATAAAATCAGCTTGTCAAGATTATGTAACCCATAACCTCACCATCCAACATAAACCACTTATGTTTCAGCAAGCTACCAGATGATATTGATTATCCTTTCTACATAAGTGACATTTTCAGAAATAATGCTACAAAAAATGTTTTTAAAGAACCTTTTACACTAGGAACTGAATATGAATACAAAACTAATCTAATCTGGCAGGTCCTGAATATACGCAGTCTGAACAAAACTACAAATTCAGCATAAAAGCAGAGCTTTCATACTTGGCTGAGTGCGATTTTAATATCTGTCTAACTTCACTGTAAATTAGCAAATGGACATTCCACCAGAATAATGTTCAAAAGTTATTGCTGTAAGCAGTACCTGACATCTGTATGCACCTTCTGCCTGGATAAAGGATGGTTGTAAACATGAAATTACTTCATACCAAATTTGGAAAATTTGATTTCTACATTCTCCATGCATAACAAAATACTTGCTGCATAAAATGAAGGAATGAAATGAACTTATAAAATACTTCCCATTTCTGGGTAATGCACATTGTTAAAATCTATAATCCTTACATTTATAGTACCCTTCACATGGAACTCTCGGTTTGGTTTGGATACTCTTAACCATGGGGGGAAAAAAACTTTCACAGTGAAGGACATCTCAAATTGCTAAAGAGGATTTATTGTAAAGTGTAGTGACTGTATTTTGTAGGCTAAATGATTATGAACTTTTACTGTTGCATGTATCCTGCGGGATTTAGTCTTTGCACAATAACTGGGGACAGTACAGTTATTGATACTGACAACAGTATGACTCTTAGGAGCCATGTTATGATGAATTCTCTAGTTCAATGGAAGTTACTTGCCATGAACAGCATTGAATTACAGAGGCGGTAAGTTAGAAAATAAAATGTGAAAAGTGTAAGCAGGGTCTCAACAGTTGCATTTTGTGTTTTGCAGCTTGTGCAGATCATCATAAACACAACACACCTGGAGCAAGCCTGTAAATACCTTGAGGATTTTATAACAAACATCACCAATGTTTCCCCAGAGACTGTGCACACCACACGGCTTTATGGGCTGTCCACATTCAAAGTATGTGTTGGAAATTTGCTACTTAGTTGCTACTGTTTTGATTTTAAGATATGTACTTGGGTCTCAGGCTTATGGATTTCAAGTTTGGCAATAAAATATTCTATTCTAAAAATGTTTTAATATTTCATATATTTTTGGTGCTCACCAAGCTTAGTAGTCCTCCTTTGATGAGAATTGATTGTTTAATTTATAAATGCATGGAATGTTCAACAATCTAATTTATGTTCCGAACAAATGCAAAGCTATTTGAATATCAGAAGATTCAAATTTATCTTGAATTGACTGGTGCCATTTTCTACTTCCTTGTTTACCAGGGTTTTGTAAACACTCAAGTTCTAACACCTTATACACAGTAAATGTTATGCCTCAAAGCTTTTGATATTGCTAAAGTATACCCGAAATGTAATCTAGCCTTTATAAGATGCTATGAAAACAAGATTCCTCAATAAGTTTTGAAATGTCCCATGTTCTTCTCATCCAATTTAAAAATGAACTGAAAAAAATTAAATCCTTCTCTTGAAATTGTTCATTTTGAAATGTGTATAAATCGTGGTGTAACTAATTTAAATGATTTTTGTGCAGGATGCTAGACATGCAGCAGAAGGAGAAATATACACGAAGCTTAACCATAAGATTGACGAATTCATACAGCTAGCTGACTATGAATGGACTATGACTGAACCCAACGGTCGTGCCAGTGGCTATTTAATGGATCTTATAAATTTTCTCAGAAGTACCTTTCAAGTTTTTACACATTTACCTGTGAGTATTTGTATATGAGAATTGGTAATCTTAAATAATGCTGTGAATGTAATTTGTAAGCTTCTTTCAATTGTGATAAGTATCTTGGTCATAAAGCCCCAAACCATTTGCATTTACCTCTGCTACCCTGTTAAATTGTCTTCAAAGTCTTACGGTGGTCTATCATAATTTTAACTGCTGTTAGTTTAAGTAACATTTTAAACATCAGTTCCTTTGTGACTGATTTGCTTGAATGGTATTTCTTGGTAAAATAGTTTAAACAAGCAAACTGACTTTGCTAGCAGAGTATTTTGAATAACTACAAAGGTGGCATTTAATCAAACTTTAAAAATGCCCAGAAAAAACAGAAATATTAGGGTAAGACATATTTGATCTGGCTTTGAGATTTTAAGTTCTTTCCCAATCACAGAAATCTATAATACCTCGTGTGTATTCAATCTTGATTGTGTAATAATAATCCTTTAAACTTATTTCCTCAGATTTCTGGCAGTTGAGTCTTTGGCTAAGTTGGAGGCCAGTACTTTTGACCAGTTTTGCTTCTTTTTACTTTTTAACTGACCAGATTGTGCACACAATCCTAAAGAAGACTGGGTTTGAGTAGTACAAAACGTTTGTTAATAAAATGGATTTATATTGCACACTGTGACCTATGTACTGTGAAGATGTCCATTTAGCAACTGAACTTAAATAATGGCATGCTTTGCTTTTACAGAATACTTTATTTCCTTTAATTATTGGTGTTCACACTTCTTTCCACACCTGTTTACATTTGATTTTTTGTTTTGATTTCCTTGCCGGGTTCCTTCTCAGAATAACGTCAATCACCACGCAGCAATGTCGGTGAGTAGCAGAAGAAAGCATGCACAGGCTAAGAACTGGCTGCAGGCTTATTGCTCAAGTCAAGTAGCCTTCAAATAAATTTAAAAGATTAACGGCTCTAAAAACAGCCCCATCCCTGTTTTTTTTCCCCTTGGTCATTGAACAGCTAGCTGTAAATGACTTTGATAGACTAGAGCAGGGAAAAGTTTGCCGTACAGTGTCATTCAATGTTAGGACTCTGTAGAATAAATCTCTTGACATTATCACTGTTTATGTATAACAGTATTAGCTCGGCACTCAAGTTGGAATAAGCATCTAAAAAGATCCTTCTGCATATTGTTCTTTAGTAATATTGCATCAAAGAACAAATGAGTACCATCAATTTTCATTTTTTAAAACAATGTATACAATTATTACACAGTATGGTTTGTTTCATTTTTAAAAAAATGTAAAATTGGGATACTTCATTCAAGACAACAGTTGCAGCATGCACCAACTTTAAAACCACATCCTATGTGTTTTTGGAATAGACAAAATGCTTGAGATTAAAAAGCTTGGACCACCCAAGAACTTTTTTAAAACTTAATTTTATAAGTTTAAAGATTCTTTGAAAATTAGTTACCTTAAATCCCTAATATTCTGCAGTTGTTGTATTGATTCAACCCCTAAGATAGCTTTTAGGAGTGGGACTCTGAATCAATGCCCTTTTAAATTGAGTCAAATTGACACAATCTATAAGAGTTCTTTGATGGCTATTAAACGATACTGCAGTTTGTGTCCAACTAATAATACTGTGGATTGTCAAAGTAGGTAGTTTTGTGTCAGAAAACAAAATACTGAAAATGTGCAGCAAGTTGAGCATTGAATTACCATACAGAGGCTGATAGATTTGCTCTGTCTTTCTAGTATTATTTCAGTTTTTAAGTTTGTTTTCTTTTGTCCTTAGTTTTATGTCTTTTACGTTTATGTTCTTTGGGCATGTTTACAGAAGAAGCTTGGCTCTGTATTGACTCCACTCTATGTAGTGCAGAAAACAATACAATTCTCAGCTGAAAGTCATGAGATTTTTCTGTGTTAATGAGGGGGTATATATTTTATTGACGTGTGTAATATTACGTATATAAAATAATGTTTTTTATAGGATCTCATTTCCATCTTCAATTCCGCCCCCACCCCCCCCCCCCCCCCACCCCCGATAAGAAATGTCCCAGGACTGAAGTTAATATACTTTTGCAGCTTTTGTCTTCAGATCAGTGTATTTGTAGCTGAAGTAAACATAAGTAACTTAGAAACAGTTTAATTGTTTTTCACAGGTGATTTGACAGTCTCAATATGAAAATGCCACTAAGATGAACTTTAAAAAAGAAACACTTATTCTTGGGCTATATTAATGTATGTAATTGAGATTTGGTTTGAGATCTGTTCTGTCACAGCTGGAATTGCCTTTTGTATATGTTAAGTATAATGATATCATGTTCATTGATCTCAACTTGTGTAGGTAATGAATTGAAAAGCAGCCATTTTACGATCAGTCCAATCCTAACTAAAATGCTGGTGAAAACTTTAAATTGAAGACTATTTAACCTGAGTCTCGTGTTCTAATTGCAGAGTAATGCAATTGAAGATTTATTTGTCGCGTTTGACAAGCTGGTGCTCTGTCTTGGGGGGATGGACATTACTGGAGCTTCTTTGTTTGTGTGAGTGACAGGGAAACTCTCAATGCACAGTTGGTAGCAAGACACTAGAGGGTAGAGGGTGACTCTTAACCACAAGTTAGGTCCAACAACTGTCACTCAAAAACTCACATAGGTTGGCCAGAGAATAGGCTTTGTTATAGATTCCACCAAATGTCGCCTCATGCTGTCTTTGATTGGCACAGCTTGGTAGGGGAGGATGGATGAATCTGTCACTGGCTGGTTAATTGTGTTGCCGGTCTCAGTCTGACAGCAGGTCTTTGACTCTTAAGTGGCTCAATGCAAAACAAATTAGTAGACTGCAGTCGTATTTCTCATTCTGTGTTCTGTGACTGAATGCAGCTCATAAATCATGTTGACTGGCACGAAAACGAATGATGAAAGCCACTTTTTAGACAGCCAGTGCAGATGAAGTATCCAACACTGGGGATATGCCATAGAAAGTCTCATACGTCAAAGCCTTTGGAATTTCTTGGAGCTGAAAGCACCTTTGTGGCAACTGTTTTTTTTAAAAAAAACTATTTTATTGAATTAGTGTTTTATTCTTTTTAGTCACCTCTTGAAAAAATGTTAGGAATTTAAGGAGTTAAATGCTTTCAATTTAATTTTTGCAGTTGTGTTTTGTCACAAAGATGCTGTTTCAGACTGAAACAGCTTGCCTTTCAGTGATTGCAGAGGCAATCAACCAACATAATTCAAATATAAATTTGTTGATGAAAGGCAAGGATGTTCATTTTGTTCACTTTTGAAAAGTTATAGTGAGGAAGTTACGGCTAGTTATGGGAAGATGATCATAATGGGTTTTGAACAGAAAGCCATTGAATATACAGTATAAGGAAATGATAGTAGAGTAGATTCAGTTGATATCTCTGTTGCTTTCTGCTTTGTCTTTGCAAATTGTATCCCATATATCTACGTCTTAATTGTGTGTCCTGCATGCATTATCTTGCATTAGGGTACATTAAACATTGTTGTGTTGTGCATAACCCATTAAATATACAGTATAAGGAGATGATAATACAGTAGATTCAATTGAAATCTGTCTCTTTCTGCATTGTCTTTGGAAAATTGTATCCTATACAAAGAGAAAGAGTTCATAATTCTTTCCATCCAAACTCTTCAACTGCAAATGTAACTACTTACTTTGCAAATCCAGGATGAGTTGATGTACACTGGGATTAGGAGGCGTCCAAGGACCAACTCCCATTATGTTGCCCAAAGCAAGGTTACAACTCAAGAACATTTAATTAAGTTGAAAAAGTTATTCCAATTTGTATAGATCTCTGCTCATGGCAAATATGAACCATGTGTGTTTGAGAAAATGTTAACAGTCATTCCCAGACTTGGTCTTGGAGTTGTGGGGGTGACAAACTGAACTGGTTTCTTTGGAGAAGAGCAGCATGTAATGAGAAAAGGGGATTTGCAAGATAAGGTTTATAATGGCTGACGGGACGATGGTTTGTTTCATTGAATATTAATGTCTATTTAAACTAGATTATAGTACCTCTGTAGGTTTTATACCTTAATAATGTATGGTGTGTCCATAGACATTCACAGTAATTGACTTAAAGTCATTTCCCAGTAAACTTTTTCAGTAAAATTACAATCCGCCTTAGCTTGAACATCATTACAAGTCAAAAATGACCACAGTTGTCTTTGTTGCTTCTGACACAGACTGAGCAAAACAAGTATTTAATAGAAATGTGATAAACATCACCTCATTGACAGGAAAATCAATGATGGCTAATGGAAATTCTTGATTATCTACAGATTTCAAATTTGATCAGTACAATTTCAAACAGATCTCTTGTCTATGTATTTTCAGATAAAACCAACTTTACTTGCTTGTAATGATGCCTTTGTGGCATAAGATGGAGCATTTAATTATTCTTCAGTCCTCTTTCAGTAAGATTAGGATGTATTTTTCACTACAGACTTGGGAGCAACCATATTAATGGTTATTATGATTATTAGCAGTTACCCGACCATTCTACACACACAGGTTCTGACTGTCAACTGATCATTTTGAAGGATCAGCCCTTACAGCTTTCCCATATATATTGTATTTTATCTTGGAGTGACTTAAGGGCAGTAAATCTAATCTTTGGGGCTTCAGATGATGATTATAAGATGTGTGTGCTTTGCTCTAGCTTTGTATGACCTCAGCTGAATGCTTTGATTGGATTAATGCTTTATAAATCATTGCCAGGTATCAATCATTGTATATGTTAGTATAGCACAGTCATTTATATTCTCAGTGATTTAATGCATCCCTTGGAAAAGATTCTGTTTGATTTGATAAATGTTTATTTAAAAAAAGCAGGGAGTAGCAGTGTATGCTTGGATAAAAAGACTGGTTAAAAGCTTCAGTGATGAGGTGGACATTTCATTCAGCTTACTGTATCTGAAATACCAGTCATTTGTAATGCACATTATTTGGGAATTAACTAACCGACTGGTCTCATTTGTATCTGTCTTTAAAGCTTCATGCACCGCTACTGTAATTACTTCAAAGTTAAAATCTTGCTCTTAAATTGAGATCTTTGAAGAAATTAAAATTTAGATCTGTTTGAGTATTAAAAACTAGTTGAATTATGTCTTAATCAACAAAGTTCCTTGCCCTTGGTTATGTTGAATCTTAGGATGGTTATCGATCATAGATGACATGCTGTAGTTAAATCAATTTGATCAATTGCATCATTCCAATTTTTCGTTGCCTGTGACTGACACTCAGTTTTACAAACACAATAAAAGTAGATGTTGACTGTCTGTTTATAATGATTGAAATGTCAGCTTATCATGATTTAAAACATGAATGGATTTGAATTAAAATTTTATGATTTAGGAAATGCAACTGATATTGTTGGAAATGTGTAGTTGCAAGTACAATCTTCTTGCAGACAGTTTTTTTTTAATGAACAGATGCTAGCTTGGCTGTTTTATAATAGATATTAAAACACTGATATTCACCATATGGCCTATGGGTCATTTGCATTACATCTCCCCTTCACCTGTGGCCCTCAACAGACTGCGGTCCCTTGTGTCTCAGGGACTCCTTTCACAGCTTGACTGCAATTCAGTGCTGTTTCTTTCCTGTTCATGTTCTTCAGTGAGAGAAGGCAAGAGCATATTAGGGGAGGAAGGAACTTCCTAGTATTTGTAAAGTAAGTGAAATGATTCTTTGAACCAAATAGGACTGATGATTTTCATCTAAAATCTTTGGGTTCTATTATCTGTTCTCTTTTTTATTGGGAAAATACTTGCCCTCTGCTTAGCAACTGACCATATTGACACGAAATAAAGAGTCCATTATGCCCACATAACCGA